GATGCCGGGGATTGAATCCAGTTCAGCTGTGTGCAGGACAAATACACCACCTGCTGTACTCTCTCCAGCCCCAGAATGTTCCCTTTTAAACCTCTTCGTATTTTTTCTTACTGCTTGAAAATTTTTGTTTCATCGTACAAAACCAAAAACTATCTGAAAAAAGGGTGTCAAAGTTAGTTTCATTCAACGCTCAGTAACTGAAGACATTTCGAATATATGTTTTGAATATAGCCAGAAGAGTAATGGGGATCCATTTGGCTTTGGAGAAAATTCAACGAGCGTGTTTTAGATCCTGGTTATATAACTAGCATGCTTCTATTCCACCAAAGGATTATTATTAATGGAGGGGGTCAATAGGACGTGGACTAAACCCAGATATATCTGAGCTATAAAAGTTAAGTGTGGTCTTCCATTTCCATTAAAGATAAATCTTCAAAGCATTTCCATTTAATTGGAGTCAGTCCTATCTTTTGATTGGCATTGTACTTTGGGAGTATAGGAACTTTCACTCAAATAGCTAAAGCAAATGGACTTCAGAGAGGTTATTGCGGGGTTCAGGAAGTAAACCTAATAATTTTTTTATCCTTGGATTGAATGATTTTGCCGAAGAGAGGGATTATTTGAAATTTAGGACATGGAACTAGTTAGAAAAAGCACATGGAATCACAGAGATATTGAAAATGACTGGAGGAGAGAAAATCATTTAAGACTGTGGGAGAAACATTCCAAACCATAGTCTCACATCCAATAGGACAGGATTACTACTCTGTGTGTGTGTGTGTGTGTGTTGTGTGTTAAACTTCCTACTAGGTACCAGGAAGATGTACAGGGGTTAGGGAACGTGCCTTGCCTGACTCCAGTTTACTCCCTGGCACCACATAGCCCTCCTGCACCTCCAGGTCTAGCCCTTTGGCTCTTCCCTGCCATACCAGCACTGCCAGGTACAGCCCTATTGGCCCTCCTGAGCATCCCTCAGATGGTCCAGTGGTCCTTGCACCACTGCATCCTGGGGCCTTCACATCGAACCATTCACATACTTGGCCAAGAATTTTCAGGAAGTTGCCCCTTGGGGCCCCTGAGAACTGCTTGGGACCCCACTTCTCTCCCCTGCAAAAACAAAAACAAAAAGTAAACCAAACCCAACAAACATTGATGAGGCTATGAAGATGTTGGATCTCTTTTGTGTATTGTTTGTAGGAATGTAAAATGGTAGAGGTATGGGAAACAATATGGAAGGTCCTCAAAAATATAGAAGTAGTATTACTCTATGACTCATCAATTCCACTTCAATGTCTGTCTCATCAAAGAATTGAAAACAGGGTCTTGAAGATATATTTGCACCTATATTTACAGCCACGTTACTCACAGTAGCTAGACCATGGAAGCTACCCAGATTTCCATGAACTGATGGAAGGTTGGGCCACGTGTGGCCTTCTATCTACGATGGATGACTCTTCCTTCTTCAAAAGGAAGGGAATTCTGACACATCTACAACAAGGGTGACACTGAGCATACTGTAGTGAGGACAATCACAAAGAGACAGGTCCTTTAGAATGCTACTGTAAGAAAGGCACTCAGGGCAGTCCACATCATAGAGGCTAGAAGTATAATGTGGTGGGTGGGCAGCACAGGGAGTTATTATTTCATAGGTAGAAACTTTCAGTTTTACCTGATGAAAGAAGTTTGGGGATAATGGTAGGATTGGCTGCAGAACAATGGGAATGCATTTATTACCACCGAGCTATGTGTTTAAGGATGGTAAAGATGAATCAGTTTGTTATGTGTATTTTAGCACAATAAAAGAGAAAGAAAAAGTGAGCTTTAACTGTTTTTGGCAAGTGATTATGATTTACAGAGGCAGGAGAAAACACCCCCCCCCCCCAAAATCTCACTGAAAGACTCTCACCCTAGAAAAGGAGTTCTTTCTTTAGCCTCTGTGGTGGGTTCTGGCAATATAAATAATACCTGAAGTTTCAATCATCATTCAACAAAATCTTGACACTGCAGGCCCAGCGGCTGTTTTAAAGTTAATTAAGACATTGGGCTGCAGAGGAGGTGGGGAGGGCGGGAAGAAGGAGATGCAGGTGTTATTAACAGTTGAGAGTGTGGAAATAAACCGAGTGAGTCTAAGTGAGAGGTGGAAAAAAATAGAAACTTCAGGATCCCTATGTTTTATGACTTTGTTTAAAAAAAAAAAAAGGAGAAGCCAAGGAAAGTGCCTAGTAAGGGAAGGTCAGAAAACAGGTAACAAGAAAGAAGAATCGCTTAGAAGACAGGGGGAGGGGTCAGAGAGACCGCACAGTTGGCAAGAGGCTGACTTGGGTTCAATTCCCACACCCTGTATGGTCTCCTGAGCACTGCCAGGAGTGATTCCTAAGCACAAAGCCAGGAGTATCTCTGCAGTACTGCCAGGTATGCCCTGAAAACAACAAAAAATAATAGACAGGGAGGAGGGAGTGTTTGGAACCAAAAAGGAGTTAGCAGAAAGGCCACATGGTGGGAGAGTTGCAGTGGCCAGTGGATTTGATACTAAGCGGTATCTGGAGCATGACCCCAACAGGAAATAGGTTTGGTACAAATGGCTCATTGGATGACCTGAATTGGACTTAGCTATTTGGGGGAAGTGAGGTACTGTGTGGGTGGCTAGCAGTCCAGAAAAAAGCCACGGGTGCAAGAATGAATGAAGAGCATTCCCCGGGCCCCAGCCCGCTCATCAAGTATCATTTCAGTGATAACTGAATGACTCTGAATGAAGTGGGGTAGGGGTGTGGGCAGAAGGCTGAATTACCAGCAGGTCCAGAAGCAGATGATGTAAATGATAGCAGGATAGAGTTGATAGGTCTGGAAAAAGTGGCCCCCTGACTCAGAGAAGTGCCAGGGAGGCTGGGTTTTCGAAGCACCGTGGTTTCAGTTAGGAGAAAGGGTGTGAAGGGTTTCACAATTTAGGGGTTATGGGCAGGAGAGCCGGGGGTTACATCTCTTGCCTGGTCAGATCCCCCCAGCACTGCATAGTCCACAGAGCACCGCTGGGGGGTGATTCCTGAGGGCAGACCCAGAAGTAAGCCCTGAGCACTGCCAGATGTGGCTTAAAAAAAAAAAAAAGTACAAAACCAAGCAAAATCCAACCCCTCGTCCCCGTAACAATTTAGGGATGGCTTTAGAAAGTGCTGGAAGCTAGCAGAGCTGGCTGGGAGGCGCTTGGGGGTGAGGATGGGGGTCGGCAAAGACTGGGCACTGGGAACCGGGGTGCGGGAGAGCGGCCAGCTTCCCAGGACGGCGCGGGGAGGGAGGGACCTGGGCGCCCGCTCCGCCAGGAGCTCTCCAGAAAGCCTCCAGCGACCAGAACACGCTGGGAAAAAAGGCATTTCCAGGAGCGACGAGCCGAACAGCGGGGAGCGAAGCAGAAAAAAAGGTGTGGGCCCCCCTGGAGGGGAGGCAGCGCTGTCAACGACAGACATTTTGGGTAATTCGGAGAATGACAGAACCAGACGTGTCAGGCTGGTCTTTTCGGCTGGAAAACCCAGCGGGGCCGACTGCTCGGGTTCCTTCCCCGCCCCCCCCGCCCCCACCCCGAACTCGGAGCCTGCGACATCCTTGAGGCAACCACTTCCCCGATTTCGCAGAATGGAAAAAAACGGGGCCCGCGGGAAAAGCTCGTCGCTCAAAGTCACACAAGCAGTTAGCGGCGGGCCGTGCCCGACTCCTCCCGGCGCAGGGGAGCGGCCGGCGGCGGGACGCGAGGCCCCGGCGCGGGCACCCCGGGGTGCGAGGCGGCTTCCTGGCCGCCGTCAGAGGCCCGCCCCGAGGGGAGGGGAGGGCAGGACGCGGGGGGCCTCCGTTCCCACACTCGGGTTAGGCGCGGGCCGGCCGGCAGAGGGCGCGGGGCGGCGCGGCGCTCGGCGGCCCGGGGGCGCCGGGGGTTCGCCGGGGGTTCGCCGGGGGGCGCCGGGGGGCGCCGGGGCCGGGGGCCGCCGTCCCGGCCGCGCCGTCGGAGCGCGCGCGGGTCCCGGGCGGCCGCCGAGGCCCGAGGCGCAGGGGCGGCGGCGGCGGCGGCGGCGGCGGGGCGCGGGCGGGGCGGGGCGGGGCGGGGCGCGGAGGGGGCGGGGCCGCGCGCGGGGGGCGGCGGCGGCGGCGGCCCGGGAGGAGGAGGAGGAGGAGGTGGCGGCGGTGGAGGAGGAGGAGGAGGAGGTGGCGGCGGCGGCGGTGGTGGAAGAGGAGGAGGAGGAGGAGGAGGAGGAGGAGGAGAACATGGCGGCCGCGGAGAGCGGCTGAAATGCCCGTTCCCCAGGCCCGGCGAGCGGGAGTCTGACGCGATCGGCCGAGCCCTCCCCGCAGACGGCTGCCGCGCGGCCTCGAGCGCCTGGGCCGCCCGCTGGCCGGCGGCGCCCCGAGCCGGAGCCCGAGCCCGAGCCCGAGCCCGGAGCCGGCGCCCGCTTCCTCCCGCATCCCTCCCTCCCACCCCCGCCGCGGGGACCCCTGCCCGGCAGGAGCGCGCCGGAGCGCCGCGGCGGCCCCGAGGAGCGGCGGAGGCCGCGGCGGTGGCGGGCGGGCGGGCGGGCGAGCGCGGCCCCGCGGGCGGCGGCGGCGGCGGCGGCAGGTGAGTGGCGGGCGGCGGGCGCCGAACCTTCCCGGGGGCGGGGGGGGGGACACACGCAGCTGTCACGAGCCGCGCGGCCGGCCGGGCCCCGAGGGGGCGGGGAGCCGCCGGCGCCCCCTCCGCCCCCCGCGCGCCTTCGCCTTCGCCGCGCGTCCCGGGCCCCCTCCCACTTTCCGCGACTTCGCCCGGGGCCCCGCGCGGCCGGAGGGGGCGGAGGGCGCAGCTGTCACGGGCCCCGGCGCGGGGGTGGGGGGGTGAGAACCGCGCGCGCCCCGGGGGGTTGCGGCCGCCGCCGCCGCCGCCGCCGCCGCCCGGCCGCGATCGCTCGCTCGCTCGCTCTTCGGCCCGAGGGGCGCGGGGGGAGCGGCGCCCCGAGCCCGCCGCCGCCGCCGGCGCCGCCGCCGAGAGGGGGAGCCGGAAGTCGGCGCGGGCGCCCCTCGGCCGGGCCCGGCTCGAGCGCGGTGACCTTGGCCGAGCCCGGGCGCCGGGGCGAGTCTCGCCTGCCCCGGCTGTGAAATGGGGATGCCCGCGGCGCGCCTCGGGCGCTGCGCGACCCCCGACGGCGCTGCAGGGTTCCCCCCCGGCGGCCCCCGGGCCGGCCGCCGAGGTAGCCGCGGGATCGCGCCGGCGACGTGGGGGCCCCCCTCCTTCCCGGGGGTTCGGGGGGCCGCTGGGCTGGGAAGGGGGCGGCGGACCCGCGCGCCCGGGTCCGGGCGCGGGCGGGGGCGGCGAGTCGAGCCGCGCGCGCGGGCTGAGACTCTTCGGAAGGGAAAGCGGGACCCCCCTGGGTCCCGGCATCTTCGCCACCACCCCGAGATGGTTCGGGTTGGGATTTTTTTTTCTCTCTCTCTTTCCTCTTTTAAATTTTTATAAAAGCGGCCGGGCCCTTCCCCCGGGGCTGCACACGCCGCGGTTGCTGGGTGCGGGGTGGTGGCGGGAGGGGGTTGGTGGGACGGGGACACGGCGGGCCTGACAATAAAGCCTGGCGTGCGAGGACAGCCCCGGGTGCTGTGGCTGGCTGCAGAGTTTCGTGGGGAGGCAAACTTTCACCGTGGGGGGCTCCGTGCTCCCCCTTCGCCCCTTTGCCCCCCGGCCGGGCGGCGGGGAGGGGGCAGGTGCCCTTGGGCGGAGAGGAGGGGGCCTGGGGACCGTGCGTGTTGCACGTCGCGTGTGAGGGCGGTGCATGAAGGGTCCCCGAGTGAATCGCGTGTCCCAGCACCCTCGGTGGATGCCAGGAGTAATCTCGGTGGCGATGATTTGTGGGGGCCGAGGTTTGCGCTTGGGGATGAGGAAATCGCCCCAATGTTGGTGCAGCGGGCTCTGCTGTGGACGGGGTGGATTTCAAGGGTTAACTGTGTTTGAGGTTTGTCTCCTCTTCTGGAATTGGTTGGAGGTTAGTTTCAAAAAAAAAAAAAGTTGGCCAAAGGGGCCTCTCAGCTTGTTTCACAGAAGCTGTGATGTAGTAGGAAGGGGGTCAGATTTCTTCATGTTGAGAATAATGTGCAAAGAAAAGTATTTGCTTGGGTCTTTTGGCTCACGCACTAGAAATAGTTTTGGGTTAAAGGTAGCCATGGGGCTTGATTCCACTTAATAAATGGGCGTTCAGTGAACTAGATAAAATTGTAAGTGTTTCTATTTTATCTCCTGTGCCCTGTGGAAAGGTCTAATTTGGTTTCGTGAACCTGTGCCTGAAATGTTTTCCCCTTCCATTTCTCATTCAGACTTTATCCTTTGGGATCAGTGGATCAAAACCGGGGAGGGGAGGGAAGGGGAGGGGGGACTGAAAAAAAGAAGATGGGGTTTGGAGGGAAAAGTGGAGGGGGGCTGATTGATAAGAACAGGTGTTTGATTTGGAGGGGTTAGGCATTTTCCCTGTTTATTCATTTTATTAAGCAATAATGAAGTTTGATGTTTAAATGTGCAAAACTTGAATGCCTGGTTTATAATCTCTTCCTCATTTCTTTCTGAGAAAAAAAAAATCCGTAGAATCGTGTCTATTAAATTGCTCTGTGTGTGGTTTAAGCCAAGGGAGTTTTTCAGATCTGCATTTTTTGGTGAGTGGTTTTATTGGAAAAAAATGCTTGATGGAACTAATGGTGATTGTTCCACTTAAACTGGGATTATAGACAATGCATTTTCCTCCCTCTTTCTGCCAACCGTTTTTTTGCTTCCCTCAATTCTAGGGTTTCATTTCTAGAAATCTGGGCTGGAAACAGAAGCAACAGTTTGTATAATCCCAAGAACTTGCTTACTCCAGGGAGCTGTAAGGGTAGCACCATGTGGGTGTGATAGAAAGACACTGCGACTAAAGACATTTCACTGGTGAGGGAGTCGAGGGTCAAACTTTATTTTTTGTTGGATTTCCTGTTTTCTGTGTATGTGTTAATCTTTGGGTGGGCAGAGGATTGGGTTGCTATGGTGCTGCCTGGTATATATTGTGAAAGAGCTGGCAAACTTTCATGCTTCTACTCTATAGGGATTGGTGGTAAACAGGCCTAAATAATTTAAAGATGTTCCCAGGATGGAATGTTCTCTGCATGTCCTCTTGATCCTGCTAATCCAGGGTTCAGTCTTCCCCAGGAATAAAGGCTGAGTTAAGTGATGAGGGATTGTGTAGAGGTGCTGAAAGGTGGAGCAGGTGGAGATAGGATATTGGAGCTTCCTTGGGAATCTTTTTTTCAATTAAACTATATAGATCAAAGTAGAGTTCTGTTCCAGAAAACCGGTCCTGTTTTTCCAGGGCATTTGAGTCTTCCCCCCCTTTTTTTTTTAAGGCCATCAATTTAGCATGTGTTCTCAGAGCCATTCTTTTCTTTGTATTTTTTTTTCCTTTCTGTTTTTTGGAGGGGGTGCTGAGGGGGGGGGGGCGGGGATTGGGCCTCACCTGACTCTGACTGCTCAGGGGCCATCCCTGTGGTGTGTGTGAGGGAATCAAACCTGCATCAGCACCCTATTCACCATACTTTCTCTCTCTGCCCTTTGTAATGTGTGTTTGTCTTACCCCTCAGGGAGGGCTCCTCCTTGTTTGACTATTTAGTTGCATATCTTTGGGATTTAGTTAGCTTTAAATCACCTGGCCTGATCTAGCTTTCATTTTGGGGAAAGTATGGGAGGCCAGTACCAGCACACCGCAGCTTCCCGGAGAGTCGCCTGAGGGCCTGGGTGGAGGAGGAGATTCCCCAGGATGCTCATTATCGTTTAGGCAGTGATTTTTGCCTTCTATATATTATAATCACAGGAATTCTCAGAGGGCCATCAACTGTTTTTCTGGCAGGGACCCAGAGATACTGTGGTGGTCTCCTTTTCCCATTACCTACAAATACCAGGCTCAGAGGCGAGTGTGGGAGCTGAATGACAACAGTGCACTGTGGGCTGCAGGATTGTACACATTACTCCCTGCTGTGTGCAACTTTCCTACCCACTTCTAATATTGGCCAGTGGCTTTCAACTCCCAATCGAAGGACCTGTGCTGTTTGGGGGATGCAGGGACGTTGAAAACTCACTGGATTTGATGGTAGGCAAGAACTTTTATTGCTTCTCTCTCAGGAAACCAGTCATTTAGTTCATCATTTCTCACGGAGGAGAATCTTTTTATTCTCGCTATTGGAGTAAGGATTGTCGGGAGCCTTCTTTCTTTATATTTTTTTTGTTGAGACCTGGCCTTTTCTCAACTTGGGGAGTCAGAGGCCCTAAAATCACCAGGAAGCCATACAGTTCTGGCTTGCTTCACTCAAGGAGGTATAAGGTTTAATGCTGTACAGTGTTTTGTTGGGTGCACAGCATTTGCATTAATACCGATGATAGAAATTACTGCATAATGCTTGGATAAGAGAAATTATTACCGAGGCTGGCAAACAAATCCAGCAGTGCAAGTGGAGCGGGTTGTATTCCTGCTTCCTCCCCCACAGCCCCATCTGTATCGCAGTATTTTTGAGGATTCTTGAAGTGACAGGCTTTTAGAAAAGCTGAGTAGAGTTATCATACTTTGAAGATGTACTGGCGAGACAGTACAGGAGTTCAGGTGCTTGTCTTGCCTGTGGCCAGCGGGGTTCGATGCCCACTTTTGAGTATGGTTCCTTGAGTATCTCTAGGAGTCATCCCTGACACAGAGCTTATGCCAAAACAGAAGCTATAGTCACTGGAGGGATGGTGGGAGACTTGAAATTAATCCACCTGGACACCCTCAGTTGAGGTATATTTTGATCAAATCTCTCGCACGGAGGGGTTTCAGTGCGAAGGGCTGGAAGTTTGGGTTTGCCGAGAAGTTCTGGCAATCTGACTTTTGGGAATAAAATGGCCAGTGGGTGCAGCCACAGAATCGAAATTCATCCGGTAATAGGACTGGAGCTCTGCTAGCGTGGGATTGATTCCCAGTATTCCTAGAGTGGTACTTCAGTTTTGCTCCTCTGGCTTGCAGTTTTGAGGCATTTAAGCTTTTGGCAGTGGGGCTTCAAGCTGTGGGTGGTGTCCTGCCCCTTCCAGATATTTAGTAGTTTACACTTGAACTGGCTACCCACACCAAACCTCAGGGTTTCAGGTTTAACACTGGAACGATTTCCCTGATAACTGTTGTGATATTTAACTTAAATTATGTATTAAACAACTCAGTCTGCCTAGCATGATTGTTGCAGAGTGGGGCTGAGGGGAGACATAGCTGCGCATGACTCTGCTTCACTCGGGGAGGCTGAGTGGTGGGTGCGAGATTGCACAGCCTCTCTCTGGGCATTACCAGTGACGTTTGCGTCCATGTCTTTTGACCTGAAATACCTTTAAACGGACTTCTCTCCAGTCGTGTTCGCCACTCTTGCCACACTGCCACAGCTATTGAACTCTCATTCTCTGCTCTGGAGTGGATGATATAGTGCTTGGGATCAAATCAGGGAATCCAGTACTCAGAGCATCTGCTCACTCGCCCTTTGAGCTGCTCCTAAGACTCCCAGAGTCAAGTTGGAATATTTATTTTCTCACATTTCTTATTTTTTTTGGGGGGGAGGGCACACCCAGCGATGCTCAGCGGTTACTCCCATCGTTGCACTCAGGAATTGGTCCTGGTGGTGCTGGGAGGACCATATGGGGCGCTGGGGATTGAACTTGGGCAGGCTGGCTGAGTGCAAGGCAAGCACCCCGCTTGCTGTACTACCTCTCTAGTCCCCATTTCTCACTTTTTTCTAATGTAAGTCTATCACACTCTAATCCATCTTCAGAATGCCTGATTGTTTTCTTCGGAATTGCTCGCTTTGCTGTTGCCCTGCACTCTGTACACAAGAGTCATACCGAGTCTGGGCCCCAGATTCTTCACTAGGGGAGCATGTTACTCTGATTTCATGTTTCTCTTTAGATAAAATTTTATGATTTGTTTATAGCTGTTTGCCTGTGTACACTTGCCTTTCCAGTTTGTCCTACACATGAATGCTGACAAAACTCTCCTAGGGACTGGCGAGACAGTACAGGAGTTCAGGTGCTTGTCTTGCCTGTGGCCAGCGGGGTTCGATGCCCACTTTTGAGTATGGTTCCTTGAGTATCTCTAGGAGTCATCCCTGACACAGAGCCAGGAAAAAGCCCTGAGCACAGCCAGCTCTGACCCCCAAACCCGACCAAACCACCAAA